GTTTCAACAGTCCTAACAGAACTGAAACCCTGGAGAAGTGACCATGCTCCCTAGAAAGTCTCTCTTTTATTTAATGAACTAAAACACCAGTGACAGTTGTTATATAGGATAATGATTTTTCCTTAGCAGGTGAGAAATGGCATGGCCAGTGAGAAGAGACCATCTGGGAGCATAAAATAATGTAATGCAAGTTAGCAGAACACCCTGCTTAAGCAAAATCAATCAATCTTATTTTCAAGAACAAAAGACCTGGGCTGCTTCTTCAGCCTCCTCAAGTTATTCAGAGGTTGGGAAACAAAGGCAGGGAAATTGAAGGCAACAATGATGCAAACAAAACAGATATTGAAAGCAGTGGCACAAAATGAACACTATTATGACGAGAAGTTGTGAGTAGCAGGTAAAAATATATTTGCTAGAACTGTACTGTTGATAAAACTTTTTGCATCTGGTTCTATGAATCCTGAAATCAATAAATCTGGACACTACGAATCTAGTTTCCCTCAAAATTATTCCCTGACAGTAATCTATGGATGGCAGGCTAAAAGTCATGAACAGTATATAACTCCTTAAACTGATGTGTAAATCTACAGCTTTACTTACAAACTGCACCACACAAACACAGGCACATCACAAATAAGCACCAATACCCACATAATGCATCCTCTTTGCTTTAACAGCATAAATACTATTATATCACTTAAATTCCTATTGCCTACACTTTAGAAACTAAACACAACCAAGAAATTAATGTGCAAACATGACGTCATTACTGTGTTTTACACCCTGAAAGAGGCTTCTCGAGTTTCCCACAACACAGTCTTTTGTCACAGCACCAGGGCAGAATCTGTTCAGGAATACATTTTTCAGTCCATAAGGGCCCAATTCGGGAGCAGGAGGAGACAGCATTCCATGGAGAATGTCTAGCAAAGGTTGCAAGATTGATTTCTCAAAGCAGGAAGAAGGATACACAGAGGACCTTACTTTTTATTACACCGAAAAGTGCTGACAGCTCTACTCAGGTTGCTCTTCCGTCAATGTCTTAAAAGCAACAAATAAAGATTGCAACAGCACGTTTGTAACAGCATACATTGTAAAATAAAGAGGGGAAAGATGAAAAAACCCTGCTCATTTAACGAGTGGCATTTCCAAAGAGCCCTGGGGTGTATTTGCACTGTGTTCAGAAGCCGTGACTGCAGCGTGTCTAGAAGCCACCTTCACCCAGCCAGGTCGGGTAAGAAAAGCCACAAATCTCTGAGCGTGAGCTCACGCTGTCATGTCTGATGAAAGGGATGAACAAATTTGTTCCAAGATTTTTACCAGATGTACCCCGTGAGACTGGATATTTGTGTGCTGCCCTTGCCAGCGTCAGTGCTGAACTCACATAACCTGCAGAGATGTTTGGGACCCAGATTCCAAAAACTGAGTGGTTACATGAGTTTTCTCATTGTTGAATGGACCCTTACTCAAATAATTTTCTTTTTCTCTCCAAAACATGTGGCTTCATATACAAAGAATGGTTGTGGGGACAGGAGATCTGTTTTGCACAACACCGAGAAGATCAGTCTCCTCTGAATGTCTTCTACAAAGAGAGACAGACAGGAAAAACCACTAGAAAACTGACACTGAGCTCAATGTTTATTTCCTGGCATTTGTGAAGAATCACATCTAAAAGAAGTGGATAGGCCAAGTTTTACCTTCCTTAAACTTTTCTTTAAGAAGCTTTCAGTTATGAAATATAGGGACCAAATGCATTACAAGAACCAACTAGATAAAAATCCTGATGGATTTGGGATCTTCACTATTGACAATTGACTTTGCTCTGATCTAACAGCAGCATTTCCACAGGGCTGGGCAGAGCCCACTCCCATATCCAGTGACTTTTGGATTCAGCCTCATGTGCACACCCTCCCTGTGGAATTCATCCCTCTGTGTGCACACGTCTCACTGCTCAGAGTAACCAAGTAAGTGACATTAGTGGCTTTCTTAAAAGACCATCTAACTTCTTAACTTACGTGTTTTAATAAACACATAACAAATGTATATTGAATTTTACCATTTTCATTCACTAAAAACTAAATTCTTGCCAAACTGATACAGAACTGCTTTGCTTTATTCACCAGTAAAATATGGTTATTTCTGTGATTAAGTAATTAATTAGAGCTGCACAGTGCAAGACAGTGTAATAGAAATCCTTATCTGCAGCTCATAATGATGCAAGCCATCTCATTAAAATAACAGTGGCAAGAGCAGGAAGGGATTATTATATTAAAATGTGGAAGGATTGCAAGACCCAGCTCCAACTTATAGCCTGATCAAAGCCCACTGAAATGAAATGGGAACTTTAATCCATTAGGCATTAAAAATAAAGAAATTGTAATCTCCTCCAGCAGAGAATGCAGGAAGAGGGACTGCATTGTTTGGCAGTGCATGTACAGCAGCTTTTCTCTCTAACCTGTTTTTGACTTATTGGTTTTCCCTATTTGTCTTTATAGATATTATTCCCATATAAATAAAAATAAATAAATAATAAATAGATTTTAAATACAGATATTAATTTTCTGTTTTTAGTACAAATCTGTGTTAGTGTTTTCTTTAGCTTTTAAGTACCATGTCATCATATCTATAATACATATAAAACTGCATATAATTGCAACTGTAAGTGCTAGTGCAACTAGTATTGAGCAACCTATATTTCTATCTAAATTATTTTCTAGCTAAAAATCATTTGGACATATATATTTTTTTGTTAACTAGGGAAAAAGGCAATTTTGAGTTTTTGTTAGCAGGTTTTTTCTGGGGATCACTATGCCATCCCAGGATTGTATTCACTTTGCAGGGTTTGTAGTGAAGAATTCATCAAGGAAAATAGATTTTCCATCATCTGAAAAACTTAGGGTACTGTTCAGAAATGCTGCTAAAAGTAACTAATTTTTAAAGGAAGCTTTTGTATCACTGAACAATACTTATCTAACAATGCTGTACCATGAAGAAAGCATCTGCCTGCTGTACCTTTGCTACAGAACTTTTCATTCCAAGTCTTCTGCATGGCTCCACCCATCTTCCATGTGACTGGGTAAATACTGACAAGATGTGACACAGTTGCAGTAGATGAGAAAGGAGACCAGCTCCTTGCCACAGACTGAGCTCTAAAAGGAAGGGTCCAATTCAGTGCTCATTTACACACGTGAAACCCCATTTGCTGAAATGGACTGTGAAACTGCAGCCTGAACACACAGCTATCTACAGAACTGTCATTACATGACCAAAGAGCTCAAAGATACAGATTTTCTTAATACATGTTACTAAAACTAGCAGATGTGGTTTAGGTAAAAAAATCCCAGATTTTGCCTTTGTGCAGTGCAGTGACATGTCTACAACACCCTCCTCAATTAGTGCATTGTTCCACGAATGGTTTTTGCAGGACTCTTTTTAAAACCTACTGGGTACATCGCTGTTTCTTCTCTGCATGTCCCTGCAATTCTCCCTTGCCTTTTTTATGCCAGATTAAAAGTTTGGTAATGCCCCTTTCTCTTTCACTTGAATAATTAGATAAATATCTACAACATCAGATTCAATCAGCTCCCCCATTTTTTTTCCCCACTGACCCATTTATTTTGACCACACACTTTCCCACCCCCCCAAGCCCCAGTGTATGTGGTTTCTGATCTGACTCCCAGCTACATTAAGGCTAGCATTAGTGGTACCCCATCTCATTTTGTAAATAGCCTGTCTTGAAAAGTAAGTGGAACTGCAGGTGCCCTCTCCCACTACCTCCGGGATGTGGCCCTGGAGAACATCAGTCTTTAGACAAAGACACTGAAGAGAGGAAACTCGGCTTGGTTGGGTTGCAGCAAGTCAGTCAGGAAACACACAGTTCCTGAAAAACCTTCATACAGACTATATACACTTTCTAGTGCCCGGGAACCAGACTTAAATTCTTCTGTAAATAAGAACTCTGCAAACCTAAGAGAGAAAAAAAAGGACTTGTTATTACTTCATGTCCCTCTCTGTCTGCTTGTTGTTTGGAAACATCATTTTAATAACATTCAGTAATTTAAAAAAATAGAATCAGTATTTAACCTTTTCTGCAAATTTACATTATCCAATTTCCTCAAGAAAATGAGGGTCATTAGATCCAGAAAAGACAAACCTTTGCAATCTGTGCATGCATTATGTCTATTTAAGAGCTATAAACTTTTTCTGATTTCTGTAAGACATATCATTAAACAAATACTTTTTGATAACTTCTAAGATGCATGCAATGTTTCACATCAATACAACACATTCTGTAATGCTGAAATAGCTGCACAAATTTAAAAATAAGCAAAGGGCTGAAAATCAGTCATCTTAATTACTATACCACTTCCCCTTGTTATTCTGTGCTGTAAGGAAAACATGGATGGATGGAATGGTATGTTTTTAAACAGGTACAGTAATCTAGAGATACATAGTTAAAGATAATTAGCAGCACCATGACAGAATTTTCACTGGACCACATGTGCTTGCACCCAGCCAAAATAGAATTAACCCCTCTAGCTAAGCTAAAGGTGGGAATGATAAATTAAAAAATATAAAATAACTGCACAACACATCCTATACTTACTTTCCACTTCTAGTAATACGGAATAGTGTTAAATGCTCTGAAAAAATCATAACAAATCATGTTTTACTGTACTCCTGGACTTGGGTACACAGCTCGTCTGACTTCTGCCATTACATCAGGATGAGCCCTGGACACATGGGATTCCTCCACATCCAGCCCAGCTCCCTCTGAAGGAATGCAGTCTCTTGGGCAGGGAGGGAGCCTGGGAGAGCCCAGGCAGCCTGGAATGAGACTGCAGAGCTCCCACAGAGTGCACCCACCCTAGAACTCATGGCTAGACTTAACCCTGAAGCTTAAACACTCAGGTTACATCCGAGGGTGGTGATCAGACTATGCTTTATAAATGTTCCTGAAAATTTCTGGTATTTCCCTAAATCCAGAAGACAGGAATGCTCACCTTTGTGCCCTGTAGATGTATTTGGAGTTCCCAGTGAGCCTATACAGCAGCAGGAACACATAAGCACTGCCAGCCACCCCATGGCATATTCCAGGGCCCTTCTTCAGCAGGCCTTTCTGCCAGGTGAGCTCTCCACAGCGGATGCAAGTGTCCAGATATTGAGGCTTCTTGGAAACCAGGTAAGCTTTGGCAAACAGATATGCAATGCCTAGGAAAAGAGCAGTGAGATTGTCTTTTGTAATAAACACACCAAGAGTTTCAGAGAACACATAAGAAAATAAAGATTAATACACTAAAAATATGCAGTCTCGTGTTCTATGTGTCAGCGTAGGCTCTAAAGGCTCCATGTGGAGGGGGCAGTATCTGCTATGCTAAAAACACACAGTAAGATGTACTTATCCACCCCCTGTGACAACAACACTTTCAATCTTTTCAAGGCGTTATTGAATTTCAGGGTTTACTCTAACATTCCAGACTTTCATCATTTTAAAAGAGCAGTCACATTTTTGCCTTTAAACAGTAAACTCTTAGCACTGTCTTCTATTGGCTCCAAATCCCCATTCACCTCACCTGCTTACACTGACAGAAACACAAAGATAGGCAAGATAATTTCTTACAACGGCATAGAAATTTTTACTAAATGAGAAAAAGAAACTCACTATTTTTTCCCCAGTGAAGCCTAAACTGCTTTATTCTAGTTATACATAGTTTTGCATACTAACTTCTGCTAAAAAACCCCAACTATTTGGCTTATTTTTAGAAGGGATTTAAATAAATTAATCATAATCTTCACCAGAGCACTGCACAGCTCAGTTCATGGTAACCTTATGAGAATGCACATAACCAACTCAAGTGCCTAAAGAAATGTTTAGCTCAGTCGTGGTCTGAATTTAACAAACACTGAAGTAGCTGAAGTGTTCTTGCAAGCTCCACCTGTGTTATTATCCAAGAACAGTGATGGGATGCAGGTTTTTCTGGGGAAGAACAATAGCAATTAACGAATTTCCACACCTCTAAGTGTAACTTCTTTATGTCCTTTAGGATTTTGTCACTTTGATAAAATTTAACCTGAGATTATCTTCCACATGGAATCACCTAATGTGGAAAAGCAATGTGATCAGCATCTGGCTATGCACAGCATCAATGGGAAAAGAACCTGGAGCTCCATGGCACCAGTGCACCAGCTCATTCTCCCTCTCAATCGTCTCCCCCAGCTCAGGGGGCCAGTTGCTGTTCTGTTCCTGGTCCATCAGGAAATCCACACTCTGCCACACCAGCTCCTGATCTGCAGGCTGCAGGTACTCATAATAGGAGAGCAACATCTGCAGGATTGAGGAAAGCCCATGTGCTGCACCTGGAAAGAACAGAAACAACTGAATTAGAGGGTGAGTTTAGGTCCTGTCTGCACCTCATTGCAACTTTCCCTTGGGACAGATTTGCTTGTCAAGAGCATGGCTCCTTCATCTTCTTCATGCATACTGGGATAGTGCTTGAAATAAAAGACTTCTAGGTGCATAACACCATATTTTACTACTTCTGTCATTTCTAGTTCCTCTAGCTTTGCAAAAATATGTATGAATTCATTCTGCTCTCACTCTAATAGAACTGAAACTCACTGTATGAAGTTAAACTGAACCTGAACTGAATTCTGTTTCAAGGTGTTACTCTTCTTGACACACTGCTGGATCTGGGCCATATATTTGCATTTGTTGAATGCAAATTCAAACTGGGTCATAAATGGGTATTTCCCAGTTACTGACTGACAGTATCAGTGAGCTAACACCTAAATTTCAGTGCAAGACCTGTCTGTACCCACCAGGGTCTGTGGAACACACCACTCAGTGACTGCTCTCTCTGCTCCCCTGCCAGGGAACTGTGAACCAATCTCACACCTTCTGCAGTGATACTGAGCCTTGAGAAGGCCACGAGGGCCCTGCCCAGTGGTCTTTCACCATTGTTTCAGGTGAGCTCCAACCAAGCTGACCATGAGAGGAGCAGCTGCCTACGTGCCTGAGTCACAGTGCTATGGCCAAATCCACTCTGCCAGTCCAGCACAGCAACAGCAGCTCACAGAGAACATCCCTGACACAGCCCTGAGCAACCTGCTGCACACAGGCAGGGACACCACACCCCTCACTGCCTCTGCTGGCAAGGAACATTTATTTAGCAGAGCAGAAAGAGGAGGGAATGAAGCTGCTCCCCTGCTGCAGCACAGGCACCTCTGGCATTCCCCAGTGCTAGGCAGAATTAGCCCTCCCCTCCAACTCCTCAGTCCCACTTCACTTCAGGAGGTTGAATGGTCCCAACTGGTTCAGGAGAAATCCCACATGGTAGATTTTATGTATTTTAGTTCTGAAGTGCCTACTAGCTCAGCATCTCCACGCAGCACGCTCTCAGAGGTGTTGGTGTGTTTTACTCACCAAGATACTCTGTTCCATAGTAGGAATACATGAGTGGGACTGGTTTCCTCTTCTTCACTGCATATTGTTTTCCTGATTCCAGTATGGCCAGGCAAATTGATTTAATTTGTGCTGCAGTCAGCACCTAAACAGAAACATCAAACAAACATCAAGTCTATTATAATGATTTCATTTTTTAAAGACATTTTTCAGGACTCTGCATTTTGCCAGTGCACAGGATGCAGTACTGCCTTTAATCTTATAAATATGCTGTAATGTACATCATTATTAGGAGTTTCTTACATAACACAGTTGATTTACATAATGTCTCTCAAAACCAGAGTTTCATCCTGTCTCAGGAAGTGAATGTCAAATCTTTAGCTGCACAGATGAGGTGAAAAGAGGCCCTCTAAGAGTCTTTCCTTCCAGAGATCCTTCAGTCTGAAGGAAGCTGACAACAAGCAGCAGGCAAGCTGCAGAACAGCAGCCTCCAGACTCGGGGGAAGAGGCATGAGGAGAAGACAAAGGAAAAGATTAAATAAGTAGAGGTTACAGGCTTTATTGGGAAACACCGACCTAGACAGATTTTTCTACAGACAAGATTTAAAAAAAATAGGAAGCAAGGAAGAGTTACTAAATAGTTACTAAATTACTTAAAATCACTACTATATATGAGAGTTCAGAAACCTTTTAGTAGAAGAATCTGCCTTTCTTAATACAAGAAAATGCTAAGAAAATTAAAGTGCAAGACAGGCTTCTATGAAGATAGGCTAGCTATGCTTGTAGGACTTTAGCAACAAAAACAGGTTAATGCAGTCCCTAAAGATGACTAATGCCTTACTCTTAGAGGTGTCAAAAGTATTTGACCAGACATGAAAATTTCCATGTTAAAGAGCTAAAGCATTCAATAAATCAGTTTTACGCATTTTAACTACAACTCTAATTACATGCAATTCCCCAGCAATCTTCTGTGTCAGCCACACCTGGACATTACTGACCAATACCTAGGCCAATTAAATAATTCAACTGAAGTTGTGTTTTAGCTTGAGAGGAAAGCCCATATGGCAGCAGTACTTTCATTAAATATATCTCAACTTGTGAAAAGAGAACTGAGAAAGAAAAAAGGCAAAAAGACACAGGGAGAAAAAAAGGAAAAGGCTGTACAGACAGTCTTGACAAGGTAAATGGCAGTCCTGAAATTAACTGAAATATCAAAATAATGTCTTTGAAATGTTTCTGAACACATTTGGGTTTGCTGTAATTTGTATTATCATAGGATTTACAATTAGTTCAAGTTTAAAAATACTGATAGCTTTAATATGGAGACAACATATGTTATAAACTGTATTTTCTCATTTGGACTGTAAAAGATGCTACAGATAATTAATGTCACTTAAAACTTGACTGAGAACTAATGGCTGAAAGATCTTGTTTGTGTGTCTCACCTTGCTCCATGATAACAAGGGATTTTATTACAGCTGCTCCAAATGACTCTGGTATTTGTACAATCTAGTTCTCCTCTTGATTAGTGCACTTTAATATTACTGCAGTAGAATTAAATAAGCCATTAACATCTGGAGACTTCACTCATTTCCAGTCATTATTAAATTAATTGTTTTAGCTTCACAGAATTTAAAGAGATGGTTTGAATCTAAAGTAAATGAGGAGAGCAAAGACATGGTGAGAAACACTGAATTCTCTCCAGAGCTCTCGTTTTACTGTCTTGAAATTTGGGACCTACACCTCTGAATTCCATACCTTGTAAAAGCACTAACAAGGTCATCCTTTAAAAATAAATATGAAGGATAAGTTCTACTAATTGTAATTCTGAAAGGCAAAGGCATGTGAGTTAGAAAAATCTTAATCAGTTTATTTTCTGTATGTAATGATTCCTTCACTTAATATTATCAACTAGCTTTCAATACAAACCATGTTTTGCTAAGCTTATTTTTATGTTCAGCACATTTAATTTTTAAATTGAACTAATGACTGTTTTAGAATGCGGTTTGTGTATTTTAAATGGATATAAACTTCTATCTAAATCCAGCCTTCCAGTGCTGCATAAAGAAGTATCAGCTAGATATGCACTGTTCACTGTTTTTTAATATAAAGTAAGGGTAAGAAGTCAGAACACTTGAGCACGACGAATACCTAAGTCTATACATAGACTTATACATACAGCTCTTTGGGCTGGCATAATGAAATATGCTAACGAATGTCACCTCTTTTTCAGAATGCAAAAGCAGCCCGTATGCAAAGACAGATGAAAAATTGTATTTAAAAGCATGAATGAATGGTAGAAATCAACCCACCTGATCCACTTCCACATGACCAAAGAAAATGGCAAAGAAAATGACCTGTGTATCTTGAAAACAGCCTTTCTGGCCTCTAGCACTGATCTGTGGGCTCACACCAGGTAGATGTGTCCTAACTGACAGCTAAATAAATAAATCTTTATGTTGACTACAAATACCTCTTCCCACGTCACTCAATCCACAGTCATTGCAGGGTTGATGTCTGTTTCCTGAAACATTTAAATATGAAGGACTTGCATTTCTCCTTTTTCTGGGAAATGGTTGACTGGAACAGAAACTCTCACCATCACTATTAGTAGCCTGACAAAGGCTGAATAATCAGCAATCACACTTAAGATCTCCAATGGTTTGACACATTTTACTTCAAACAATTTTGTGTTAAAACCTCCTTAGATTTCTGTCACCTTACAAAAAATTATTTGTGACTTGTCTCAATATGCTCCCTCACAGTATCTTTAATTAAACAGCTAAATCTTATGACCAAAACAACAATCATAAAATACATTAATCATAACCACAGACAGTGCAACTGTGGTCCTACAAACTTCATTTTCATTTCAGTGTAATCGCAGTGCCTCCTTGCCCCTGGGAATTACTAAAGTAATGTTTAATTAGGGACAGATCAGAAACAGACTGATCATCCTCAAGGCTTTGAAAGGATAAATTGTATATTGATATCCCGTCCTCTGGAGCCATCAGAGGCTTTGATGCAGAATAAAGCCCATATGAGAACATGCCACCTAGAAAAATATTTCATGCTTGAGATAAGATAAATAAATTGAGAAAATTCTTGAATGTCATTTAATATGAGCATAGGAAAAATCATTCTTTATCATATCAGTACATGAGTGGAAGACTGATGACACTAAGAGTTATATTGCTAGTGCTTTAAAATCTCACCTAATTCCTTTCTATATTCTTTAAGACATCACAACCTGTTCTACCACAGAATTACAGAATGGTTTGGGTTGAAAGGCACCTTAAAGGCCATTTAGTTCCAAGTCCCCCACCACTGATAGGGACACCTTCTACTAGAACAGGCTGCTCAAAGCCCTGTCCACCCTGGCTTTGAACAACTTTTCCAGAACAACCTGTTCCAGTGCCTCACCTCCCTCCCAACAAGGAATTTCTTCCTAATATTTAGACCAAACTTGCCTTCTTTCAGTTTAAACCCATTCCCCATTGTCCTGTCACTACATGCCCATGTAAAAAGCCCCTCTTAATCTTTCAGCTATTTACCAAACACACATATCATATGTGTTCCTTTTCCTGGTTAAGTAGAGGTGGCCTGCCCACTTTAGTCAAAAGAGGTGATTTTGTCTCAGTTGATATTATAAATGTTCATTTTAGTCTCCTCACTAGACTGAAGTTTGGAATGCATGCATTCCACATTCTCCCTGCAATTTCTGTATCAATTGGTTGCTGGAGTTCTTTATTTTCTGTTTTACATCATTGTCCAGTGATGCTGAGTGCTGCCAAATAATTGCTCCACTCACACTGGTGACAGCTACATATTACTTTAAGCACAACACATAGGCAGCACTTTAATACTTTCTATTTGTACCACTGTCTGTGTCTGGGAACCTGACTTGCAGTAAAAAAAGCCACTGTGATTGTTCATAAAGTCTTTTCGTTTTTCTGTGGTGCCACTGCAGACAATATGCCTTTTCCCATAAAGGCACTCCACAATTTTGTGAATTATTTAAGGCAGGTCTTTTTTTCAGTAAATCCCTGTTAAAAGCCAGTCAGGAAGTGCTATGTCTAAAATAATCACAGAGCCACAGAGCATCATTCTGTTTTTTGTTAGCAATCTCTCACCCTGAGATTGTTTAGTTGGAAGTCAATAATTTCACAACTCTTTTTCATCTACTAAAAGAGATTTTGGAATTATTGGTTATGACAGTGCTATGCCCTATGTATGTATTTTGAAAAGTGTAGACAGGAACCTTGACCTTGAGGATTAGGCAGAAAGCAGCAGGATGAGCTCTTCTGATTAATGTTTTCAGCACTTTTTAATTCCTCTGAATGCTTGTACAAACCCCTTGGCTCATTTAGAAAACCACTGCTATATCAAACTGCATAGTGTATGGAGTGTATTTGATGATTGTAAGCTTTTAATTCTTTTAACAGGTCTATATTTATTTCCTTAGAGCTCTTTCCTGTGACAGAAGGCATTCCTGAAGGCAAGTATCATTATCTTTTGATAGATGCGTGAGCACTTTCAGGAGGTAACAGCTACAGTTACATTATTGTGGAAAAAAACCTATGCACATAAAATCATTTTTCTATGCACATAAAACATTTTATTATCACCTAACACATCAAATCTCTCTCTAGTACACTTCTAAAAAGCCATTTACATGAATTTGATCGTACACTTCTTCTGATGCTGTACAAAGTGTCAAAATACGCTGAAGAAAATGGGTCAGTCTGCAAAAAACATAACAGGAGCTTTGCCACTGTTCTCCCATGCTGGTAGCCCAGCAGAGGGAGCTTGTGAATTAGTTTTAATAACCCAAGATGCTGTAAAAAAAGATACACTTATTTGTATTCAGCAGGACAGCAGACACTGGAGTCAACTCGGTAATTTCATGATACTTACTGCAGCACATGGTATTTAAGTTCATTCCTTAAGCCTGATCTTTTCCTGCCAAAGACAGGGACTGGCATTGTTCAGGAACCTTTCCAAGCAATGTCACAGCCAGGCTTTTCCCTTTCAGACGATGATGATACCTGAAGCCACGGAAGAGCAGCAGGTACAATAACAGGGTCTGCCTCCCCTTAGTGTTATTCTAGTTTGATTGATGTGCCTCTCCTGTGGCACAGTGGG